CATAAGCGACGAGCATTAATCCGGCTGTCGGAATTTTTTTATCCGAACACAATAATAATAAAAAGCGCAACTATTCAAGTGTCATACATGGTGCAGTTTTGGCAGCATTCCGTCTGTTTTTTGCCTGTGAAAGATGAGAAGTTTAAATATAGACTCGAACGCCCACCGGCCTCTGCGCTCCTGTTTTTCCACCCGCAGTGTTTAGGCAGGTGATTGTAAACGTTCATTACGGATAATTCAACTGAGAACAAATTATCAATGAGAACTGGAGAGGGTCTGTTTATACAAAGGGACTTATAGGGGAGCAATTCCTGAAATGTACCTCCCTCGCTCAAGCGTACAGCAGCGCTACAATGGGATTTAAACCCGCAGACCCTCACCCGTTCCCAGCACTCAAACTCCAACCACACACAGCTCCTAACAGACAGCAGCTGGTGAGGGGAAAGGTCACAACAGATTTTAAGAGCCCTACCCCCCATCACCACCACCAAAACATGAATTGTAATGCCTAAATGTAAGAAGACGCAACATTAATTCTGTGGAAGAACTGGAAAAAGTATAATACATATTTTAATAAATGGCTAAATATTTTTTGTTCCTGCTTAAATAATGTATTGTGCAATTGTGTACTATCGTATTTAACAATTTCCAAAGAGGTCTATGGAAGATGTAAGATCAACAGATCCTCTTCTGGTAACTCAAGGTGAGAGACTACAGTGTCTGGTTGTCAAGTCCCTGCTTGTGATTAACTGTTGAGATCCGTGATAAGAAATGGCAACTCTTAATAAACATTCCCCTAAGTACTAAACATTGCCATAAAGTACAGATGAAGGATGATGACAAAGTTTAAAAAAAGGAAAATGATAAAGTGTTTTCCTCTGGAGTCAACCTGAGAGTCTGCAAGCTGTAAAAACAGTCCTCCTCACAGAGAAAAACCAAAGCTATCAGCTCAGAAGTGTTGCTCAAGAGGTGTGTGAGAGTTATGTGTGCAAGATTCACCTTTCATCTGCTGCAGTCAACAGTGACTTGGCTAAGGACCTAATACATATATCAAGTAGACAGGTTGGAAAATGATCTAAAACAACAAAGCTCTCTCAATAAAATTTGATCAGTGTGTAAGCCAAACCACAGGGCTTGTAAGGCAACAATCATGTTTCTCCAACAGTGTGCAGACTTTGGGCTGCCTGGACATTTCACGAGCCTAGAAATACTGCATTTATTGTAAACCTTCTCAAACACAGTACTGTACATCAGCTTGGATAAGGGCATCTGCAAAGCTGCTGCAGTCAGCGACAACAATAACGGCAGCAGCTATGGATAGAACAGAAATGAAAGGGTCTGCACAAGTCGGGGTCACTCATCAGCCTGACATTCCATCATTCATATTGCAGAACTCACAGCGTTTCTCTCAACTGCAGCTGGGACATACAAAAAAGTTTTTATGTCATTTTCGTGATCAAATATAAGTGGGCTGCCGTGTACTGCAGCACGACATGTCCATCTCTCCGCTCCGCAGGTGTGGGACGGTTTCTGTTACTCCGCGGCGCGGTCCTCCCACGGGCGGGGGTGGGCGTGTCCACGGGGCGGCTGGCAAACAAGCCAATTCTCTGCAAGAGGGAGCGAAGGGGAAGAACACAGAAGCAGGTCAGCGCCAGGTAGTTGGAATTTAAGAATGAGTTAGCGTGTCAAGGTGTTCTCGCCCTCTCAGATGTTTTGCGGCATTGTGTGCCGTGCTCACGCCTGCTCTCACGCTTACACAAACACTCGCCTCACGGCACGTAGCCTCATATCCTCCACTGACAGACACTCTTGATTAGACTGATCCCTGTATCTGGACCATAAACTGGATACCTCTAAATATTTTTAATTCCATTCAGGCACGCAGGACCCTGGGAGCTTGTTTTTACTAATGCCCTACCTGTACACTGGCTTCTTACATACAGTATGTAACACTCCAGCAAGGCAGCTATGAAGCTCTGATACGAGCTGCGAAACGCTGGCAGGCGAACTGTGTCATTTCATTTTTTTAGCGCTTCTTTCAGAACCTGATTTTTTCATGTCCGCATCATTTTAGCTTTGGACAGAACGTCCTTTTTATAAAATGACTGATACGTGCAGTAAGAGGTAACAGTACACATGGTTATAACCTACCACTTCGCGTGAAAACGTACAGTACCGATGAATGAAGGATAAGCTATCTTAAACTGCAGTATTTTGCATAAATACAATTATTTATTAGTTAACTTTAGCAATTAGAATATTTCATTATTTTGGGCTGGTGCAATCAATTATACTCGTGCAGTTGCGGACAAAAGTTGCAAAACCAAAGAACAATGATTGCGTGTAATAGTAAGACTCCATTAATCTGGTAATGACAGACTGTTTTAAGATTTGAATAAGGGTCCACTTATAATTAATTTGATGTACAATTATTTTTTCATCATACAAGGTCTTTAAGAATGTTGATCATGTATAATCATTTTCCCCATTATATTAGCATAATTCAATAATTCTGGTCCTGGGTTGCTGTCTGGGTGGAGATTGAATGTTCTCCCCAGGTATTTTTCTGGGTGCTCTGGTTGCCTCCCACACTCTGAAATGATGGCAGGTTAATTGGCTTCTGCAAAACTGGATA